TACTTTACAATTTATTTGGGGTTCTGGTGCGAGTGCAGCTCTCCTGAAACTGAAGTTCAAAAAATGTTTAAAAGCGATTTGTGGATTGGCAGAGGGAACTGATAAAAGAGATGCTCTCACAGAATGGGGAAAAAAAAAATACATACAGTCTTCAGAATCACATTCTACAACTAAATCCAAAGATCCATTTGACTAGCATGACATTTCCAGGAACATTTTGGACTCATTTTTATTGAAGAAGTCCTTAACACAGCATGGCAAAACACTTTCAGAACTAGAGGCTTTAATAATGGCATTTGTTCATCAGTTTTTTAAAGACCTAGTTTAGAATAGTTGGTTGGGATGTGGCCCGTATTTCTGAAACTGGATTGTATTGATATGTTTTGCAAAAGACAGGCTTTACCATTAAGCCAATGAATGAGGTAACAGATTTCTACCAGTCTTCCTCTCCCCCATTGTGGGCTGTTCTCGGAGGCCATCATTTTTCTGAAATGCTTTCTGCTGATGCTTTGAAAATGCACCTAATGTATAAATGAGCGTCACTGGTCCTCGGCATCCCCATAATAGCCCATGGGGAGCTATGAAGCATGCTTGATTGAGTAGGTGCATGATGGATGACAAAACTATGGAGTCTGCTTGGTCTTGAGTGATAGTGTTCAGACCAGCAGATGCATGCCGCACAATGGTTGTTGCTAGATGGACCAAAGGTAGTTGTGAGTGATTAACAGACCAGAATCAGTGATACGATTCTGCTGAAACTGGGTACAGTTCTAATTCTACTGAGATTAGAATATGATTTATAAATTACTCCTCCTTCTCAAATGATATGATGAATTTTAGCTAGATCTGTTCATCCACCCAACTCTTTCTGTTTCACCACAGGATTTAGTGCTAACATCAGCAGGCAATACAAGGATACACAATTAAAAATAAATCTTTTGTTCCCCCTCCCAATAAGAGGCATTTAATTGCAGCTGCTTGAAACAAAACTCTCCTTGTTCAAAAACACATGCCGAGCAGTTAGTCTGTCATGAATAACAGAATTTTATTACGACTGCCACAAAAGTTCTCAGGGATTCTCATGTAACTCTTTCCATCACCAGTGTTCTCTAGATTTCTAGTGGGAGGTTTAAAAATAAAAGAGATTATACATGTAGTTCTGAAGTGTTTAATCCAAGGGTAGAGAAAAATATATAAATATTTATGCTTCAAAATTTTATTATTTAAAATTATTCTTGAACATTTCCAGAAAGTCTAAAATGAATGCCTACTGCTGCTGGTTGCAAATTAAGTACAATTATTTTTGTGTTCTGCACTTGAATATAACTCACAGCAAAAGTCATTTAAAGGGGTTAACATCAACCTTAATTAAATATTAAAGTGTGCCTGTACCTGCTGCTATTGTTGCCCTTAGAATAAGATATAACCTATTTTTGACAAGTTTTCATCTTTCTCTGTGGAAGACGCTACATGAAACCAAATCAGTGGCAAAGAGGAGGGTAATGAATAATCTATTTCATATTCCAACAGTACCCAGAGCTCTGAGTGGAAAAATATTCAGTCAGATGATAGCATGAAGCTGCTGAGATACCACATGACACAGCTAATGTTTAAATAATGATAATAATAATAATAGAAGTAATAATAACAATAATAACATGATAAACAAATCATTAGCCCTGAATATTTGTTTAATTCAATTTGTTAATGAACATAATGGTGGGGACTGATAATGAAAGAAAATAAAAACGTCTAAACAGGCGCCAAGCTGCCAGTGATGCTCAATTATTTCCTTGTCAAGTTTTTATGATTTAATGAGCTCCTCTGGGACTGACGGCTGTCAGTCAGTCGTGACTTTTTGACACCATTACAACTTCAAATACAGCAGCAGGCAGGCTGTTTTCCTCGGATTTGAAATACTGAAATGATCTGACAGGTTTAAAGAAAAGATGTGCAAAGAGAGAGAGAGAGAGAGACAGAGAGAGAGAGAGAGAGAGAGAGAGGAGACACAGTTGCTTTCTCTCTCTCTCTTTTTATGGGACAGACAATCTCAGGGTGCTGTTTGGTAATGAAAACCCAATCACTGAGGTCATTATCTGATGAGGATTTTTTTTTTTAAAGACATTGGCAGGATTTTTCCCCCTTATTTCTTTACTTAATGACAACCCTCAATGGGTTTGCCCCGCATGGGATGGTCAGAGCTGCACAATTTTGTTCACCATTAATTTCAGTCTTTGAAGCTCCATGCTCTGAAGCAGCAGCAAAGAAAACCCCCCACCAAGCTGGCTGCAAAAATAAGACAATCCAGACTGCCTTAAACAGAATACCAAATGGCCTTGTATCCCCGAGATGGGAACTGACGTCAGTCCAGCTACATTTTTTTGATATTTTCCCCAAATGTAGAGCATTTAAAAAGTCTTTAAAACTCAAGCATCTTTACTTAAACTGTTTGATTCTGCCTCAGTGCAGAATTAGTGTTTTGCTTTGTGGAATTGTTTAGCAAATAGGAACGTACACACTAGAAAACTAAATTAACAGTAAGATGTCTTAATTTGGCTAATTCATTAACAGCTTTGCAGTGTTAGACTCATTTGCTTTTCAATAGTTATGCTTGGATCCATTTGATTCATACATTGACCTGAAGACATATGGCGCATACGTTCAGTGGCAGGCAGAACCTGTGTGGTAGTGGATTGGCAGGGATAGTTTTCCTACAGTCGGGTTTAATTGCTCAGGCACTATAGAAGCAGCTTACTCAGGGTAACTTTCACATGGACCCTGAGAATTCACTTGAGGATAAAAGTGAGTCTAAGATCTCATTTGAACAAATGAAAACAGTGATCACTGAGCTATGTATGGGTGCTTATTTTCTGTAAACCAAGGTTGACAGTGAACCTGGAAATTCTTCATATACCCTTTTCTTCCTGTTAACAAGGTGCTTATTACGCAGAAAATATTAAACCATGCCTAGTCAAACCTTCTGCTGATGGAACATAGTCTAGGAGTCAATTTATAGTCAGTGCAACTGTTTAGGGAATGTACGATATGCAGTGGCTGTGCATACTTTGAAAATAATTTAGAAGAATCGCTCCAGGCCAAGCATGAGCACAGCACCTCTCTGCTACCCAACAAAGCAGCTTGATTTTTTTCTCAAGCTTCAGTGCAGGTCTGAAAAAAATGTGCTGCTTAAATGTCATATTAAAGCAGTGGCATCTTTTCACAGTTGCGTGGACACCTGAAAAAAGTCAAGCTACTTTAATGAATAGCAGAGGGGTGCTGTTTTCACATTCAATCTCAATCACTTTTAAACCATGCACTGCCCAAGCATGTAATCTATATCTGATATCTAAACAGGGGTATACATGAGAGTATGAGACTTTTCTTTGTGGGTATACTTAACATGCATTGCCATATCATGTACACATTAGTTTGGGTGAAACAGAGCATCAAAAAATAACTAGTCATGTTAAAATTTTGAATTAGTCCTACATATTCTTAGGATAAATTCATATAAAAACAGTTCCTATGGCTTCTGTAAGATTAGATGTTCAAAAATCAGAACATCTATACACATTACAGAAGGCCTATGTAAGGAGGCACTGGCTTGATTATCAGATCATCAAATATAGGAATATTACTATGACAAATTTGTTTTATGAAACCTATGAAGCATACCTCCAAATGTTTATATATATAAAGATATATAAATTAATTCCAAATGTTTATATATATAAAGATATAAACATTTGGAATTAAAAGTGTTTGTTTTTTAAAAAAAAAAAACTCAATTATTTTGCATCTCTACAAGGGACTGGTATGTCATAGTTGCATTTTTGCAACAGTAAAGAAAAAAATCTTTTTGGAAAAAGGTTCCATCTGGAAGTATAACTTCAGGATTAAGTGCAGTTTTCACCACTGGCATTAAGAGGCAGAAAAATGACAAGCAATAACAAATAGCCTATAAACAGAATTTAATATATTTTCTTTGAACTTTATATTTACAGTAGCTGTTTTCAGAACAAAGGATTTGTGAAAATGTACATCTTCTGACCTGCTTTGATACATACTTTTAACACTGGAAAGCATCTTCTTCATCCCCATTTGCCCAGATCCCACAAACTCAGCCCTCCCCTATTATTAAGAAGGTAAAAGCTATAGTTCTGTGTACACAACTTAAATGATTTATCTGAAGACATACATGCCCTAACCTTTTTCCATAAATAACATTTCTCTTGTGAATCTCTTCATCTTGAATTTCTTCACTAAGCTATACAAGTTTTATTTGAGTCAGCTACATCAACATAACATTCATTTAGTTCTTTGTGTCTGGGTATAGTAAACATGTTTAGGGCCAAATTCTATTCCAGAGTGTTTGAATAGGGATATTGTGGATGTGTTCTTTAAAATGCTAGGTAGAATAAAGCTATTAGATTCTTATGACCTTCAGGTGATTGCCAATCTTTTGTGTCCCTCTAATATTTTATGGTTTAGTTTGTTCCATAACAATTCAAAATCTTTGCAAGAAAATAGTGAATTTTAAAAGTTATCATGAAAACGTCCTGCTTGCCTACCCAGGTAAATGAATAATTCTAAGCATGATTATTATTAGGTAAGTGTGGCACCCTTTCCTAATGAGCACCAGAATATAAAGGGATTTTAGCCAAACCTATTTTACAATGAGAAGTGGCAAAATAGTGGTATTAGCGCTTGAAAAATTGATCAAACAGGGATTATATACTGAGAAGGGCTAGAATATAGTCCTTCCAAATACAGTCCTACAGCCTTTTCTTTCTCTATTGTCTCTCCTTAGCTGATTGTGAGTAGTACAATAGGGTTTTAGAAGCTGCTGCAACCATATAGAACAACCTCCAAGGAATTCAAGGAACACTGGGAAACATAGTTTCCATAGTTCCCCAAATTCAGGGAAATTGGGAACCATATAAAGTATATTCCCTAGTAAGTATGGATGCTACACTATATGTTCACAGCTGTTGGGCTTGACAATTATCCTACTTCAAAGCCATCTATAAGCCCTTTAGGTCACTAAGCCCTGTACAGACTCCATATGGGAAAAAGGGGGCAGTGGAAGAAATTGCTTATTTGGGTCACAGGGATGAGGGAGGAAAATCATATCAAATTCAATTTTAACTTTGGATTTTATTGCCAGTTATGCCCAGTGGACAGTGTGAATATGTGTGAGATTGTACTGTTATCCATCACTTCATATATTGCATATTAAAGGGGCACAAACATTAAAAAAACCTTTCACATAATACTATATAAAGTAATAGGAGTGTTCAAACAATATGGGTGTTCAAATAAATGTTTTCAGGTCATCCTATTGACACTTATACTAAGGGACCAGATTGGACAATATTCCTGTATAGCATATAGACTAGACAGTAAACCTGCCTTGGCTGTACAAAGGGTACAAGGATGAGGGCTTGGTTGCAGCTTGACTTACAGTGTCCAAATACAGATTATATAAACTGGGTTAGAGATGAGAGGGCAAAATCACTGTCAAGACAGGGCTAAAAGGGAGATAAGTGAAATCTTAGAAGGATCGCAGAAGGATTTTACCAGCCTGATGTGAACAGATTTTATCCAAGAACATTAACTTAAGACCATATTTTTTTAAACAAATGAACATTACCTTTGGATACAATTCATTCAGAATATTCATTCAACCACAATACCATCATATTGATTCTAGCACAATTCTGCAGATTTTAAATGCCATTATTTTGTCACATTTAGATCCAGAAATGACATGAAGTGGTCTCCTTGCATTTATTAAACAGTATCTTCTTGATTTGAACTCCATATACATTAAAATCACAATAATACAGAGCAAAACTAACTGTAATACATGGTCATAGGGCAAAACTGCAAAATAAACTTAGTTGACAATTCAGAACATGGGGCGGGTGAGAATATATACAAGGTAAGAAAAGTGGTTGTTAGAATAAATCTTAGAATATTAAATTCACAGTGGACATTAAACCATACTTTCAAAAAAGTTTTATATTTATTAGAAACTGTCACTTTGCTTTTTGGGTTATATTAAGGAGAGTTAGGAGAATGTCAAAGGATATATTTGAAATATTTTTGCCTCTATTTCCAGGATCCTAAAAGGGGGTTCTGATAAAGATTTAAGTACCAATTCAGTACAAATCACGTTTCAACTGTTACCATTATCAGTGTTAATAATCTGCCCTTAAATTTAGTATCTTAATTATGATTGCAGTCTTTATATCTGATAATTATGTTTGCCATTCCATATGCTAAATATGGACATTCCTATTTTGAAATATCTCTTAACAAAAGACAAATATTTAATGAACATGCAGCCAAGAATGACACATACACTTCTCCTATTTGCCCCAGTGATGGACTGTGGGCTTTGAGAAGGAGAGCCATTTCAGTGCAAGAGAATGATTCATGTGACCACTTTGTCTTCATGACTCTGAAGCTGTTTGCTGCTGGTTAGCAAAGAACAAAGGTATCAATGTCCCCTGACAGAAAAAAAAATAACCATCAGGACTGCAAAGATGATGATGAGTGCCAAGATAACAATCAAAATCCGGTTCTGGATGATTCTAGGAGGAGAAAAAAGAGAAAGTGGTAAAAGACAATAAAATATGGGTATAAGTCAATTAATTTCCTATGCAGGTTTCCCAGAAAATATAGATAAGTAGCCTTTAGACTGTTTGCTACACTAATTTTGCTTAGTTTTGCTTCAGAAGAATGAGTAGATAAATTCAGTGTTCTGTTTGCAAGAACAGAAAATTAATGAGAGGTACAGATGGTGCTGGTGCAAACTAAGTTCCTTTTTCTCTCTCTCCATTCTCTTCATTTTCTTTGGAATACTACTTTTTACTTCTTTTCTGCATTTTATAAAATGCTGATTACCCCAAAATGAAACAGAGTGAGAAAGATGTATATACAATTATAGGTTTCTTTTTTTTTTGCTTTTGCCACAGTTCTGAATCAGTCCTCCTTCCAGATATATCTTCTTTTAGAAAAAGTGCAAGGGCCCCAAGACCTTTAATTCTCTAAGGGATTATATCTTTATAATATATATATAAAGATATATATGCATTTTAAATGAATTATATAAATCACTGTTTAATTAGTCATCTAAAATCACTCTCTCTGTGTACACGCATGTGTGCACGCACACACACACACACACACACATCCTGACTGTTGGGTTGCATAGGAAAATGGATTTTGTCACATCATTTAATAAATACCACAAGGCATTATGCACATTCTAGAATACTTTTGATGTTTCATCCAGTAGAAAAGACAGCTTTTAGTAGATTTTGCCACTCAGGTAAATTATTACCAGATGGAAATATGATGCACTTACTTTTACCAAATACCAAGTTAGTTTTAGGAAAAGGATGATTCATTATAAAGAAGCAAGTGTTAAACTGTGGACTTCATGCTCTAAAAGCCATCTTTGTCTCAGTAGCGCAGATAAAGTAATAAGGCAAGCTTTATCCTGCTGTATAGTAAGATGGGAGCAATAAAAAGATTCAAGAAGCAATAACACTTTGTGTTATTCACCATTTGCAGAGATGAATCTCTTATTTTGTTAGCATACAAGCAATCACTCATCACTGTTTAAACTACAATGAGTAATTTAAGAGCTCTTAAAACACAGTAAGTGTAAATAATAATACCAAAAATAATAACTATTGAATAATCAACACTGTTTCTAAGAAGGTATTTGTAATAATCCAGTATAGGTTTTTTTTTTTTACTCTATATGCCTTAAATAAAACTAATATTAGCTTCTAAGAGTCAGGAATGATTTGGCTGTAGAGTATCATCAGAATCAGATACAAAAAGAAAATAAATATTAGAAAGTTTCATTGAAAGTTATGGATACCCCCCTCAATAAAAATAAATATTTTTTTCAAAGAAAATGGGTACAATGAGTTCATTAGGCTTAGTTATTGAGTTATTGATGTATTTGTCAAAAAAGCTACAAGTTTTTTTTAATGTGCAAATTGTAAACTCTATAAATTGTAACTTCTTGTACACCAGTCCTCCCCAATACACACACAAACTAATGGAGATAGGACTAGATGCTTTGGAAAGTAGGAGAAAATCTTAAATCAATTTCAGATCACTCCCTATTTTTTTCACAGTGTCCCCCCTTGCTCCAACATTCACCTTAAAAAAAAGAAAAAGTAAATGGATGGATGAAAACTGTCACATCAGACAAACACACTCCCCTGTGACACTTTAAAAGGACCAGCTCTCTATCCTCCTGACAGGTTACAAAATGATCACATTTGCTGACACGTCTTCCGCAAAACTGCTTTAGTGCTTGTGTCCACTTTGCTAGCAGGAGATGAATGGCCTGCTTTGTCCTCATTTATCACTTAAAGCTAAACTAAGATCTGTCTCGTTTATTTTTCCTTTCCTCACTAGAAAGGATAGCACAGCATTAATTCTCCCACGATGACAGCTAATTCAAACTTAACAGGCAATATTTACTCTGCCAAAGGGAGCAGAGTTCTCTGTCTTTCTTCGAAGGAAAAAACATGTTTAATGGTCTAACAAACTAAAGCTAATTAAAGGGACTTCTGCTTCTTATTAGTTTGCAATGTGGATTAACACCTGAACTTAGAGCTCTCTCTCTTTTTCATTCATTCTCTTTGTTTTTTTATTTCCCTTTTCATATGGGGTATTCTCTAAAACAACACCTGAGAGACAACTATTTGACCAAAATAACTAACTGCATGAAAAGCAGCCTGCAGATTAGTCTGCTCAGTCTCATCGATCCGGCGGGGGCGGGGGGGGGGGGGGGAAAATTGAAACTGGGCAAAAAAGAACATTGAAAAACATAAAGAGTCATTTAGATTCTGCTTTAATAAAATAGAGTAATATACCTCTAATACAACTGTGGCTGACAACCATTGTATGTATGGGATGAGAGCTCCAAGGCATCTATAATGCTAATGTGCAGAGGATGAAAATTGAAACTGGGCAAAAAAGAACATTGAAAAACATAAAGAGTCATTTAAATTCAGCCTTAATAAAATAGAGTAATATACCTCTAATACAACTGTGGCTGACAACCATTGTATGTATGGGATGAGAGCTCCAAGGCATCTATAATGCTAATGTGCAGAGGATTAAGCATGGATATTTTCTCATTCTAGCACATATTTGGACAAATGCGTCTATCTAACACCCTAACATTCTTAAACCATTGCCTCATATCTGACCTAGTTATTGGTGTTTCAGTACTCTTAAATTAAACAGGGGGAGGAATAAATGAAATTATCTCTTCACATGTTTCAGTTCTGATTTTCTGGCTGCATACTTGATTGCAAGATTAGTTAATCAGCAAACTTGTCTTTAAAATCCTCCTTGTGAGAAGACAAATCTTTGCAGACCCCCACCTATATCTGCTAATTAAATGTTCCATTAAAGTGCAAATGTAGGATATGTATATCAAAGGTTAACTTGGAAGAATTTGAATTAGCTAGCTCATTGCATCTAAGGATACAATGTTGAACAGAACAAATTAATCATGAAATAGGAAGGATGCTATTAAGACTCCTTTTCAGAGTTTTCATTATACTTCATATTTTACTCAATAATACAGATTCTGTTTCCATTGTTACAAAAGTTATGTTGGCTCCATTGCTTCACTACTAGGGAAGCTGAGCAAATAACATCTTGGAAATATTGCTGGAGCAGCAAAGCTCCACTTTGGAGGGCAACAGGAGAGAACATACCATGAAAAACTTTGATTCTGCTGTTAGCACATTTCAGACGGCAAGTCAACAACCCAGGGCACTAAAGAAACGAATTGGGGGCTGAGTGGGATTTCAGTAGCATTCTGTAATCAAACCAGCTCAGATGGCAGAACAATGGAGTTGGCATTGACAGGGCCCATCTGTAAAGAGGTTTCTAATACTGTCACAGCCAGACACTGCCAGTGGGTATAGCTCCAGGCAAAGCAACAAGAAATTTCAAGTGGAGGAGGGAAAGAAGAAAAGTAAGGTTCATCATCATCTGCAAAAAGCCACATAGCTTATTCACCAGCAAAAAACAAATGCTATCTGTAACTTTAGATTCCTTTCACCTAAAAAATCTCTGCAAACTCTCTCAGACAGGGAAGCCAGAGTCTCCTTTGAAAATGCAAAGCATGTTTACAGGGTAAATAATTTAAGAAAGAATATATACTTGAAAGGAGACACCATGGAAACATCATGGCTAAATGCCTGAAGGCAAAAACTTGTGCATTTGCATGCCGGATTTTATTAAGTTAGCACACTGTAGCTTTAAAAGAGTGCATGGCCAAATTAAAAGGAATGTGTGACTAAAACTTCAAGGATGCTCCCAGTTTGCATTATGAATCATAGTACTGCTGATATTAAGATGAATTATCTGTTGATTCTGTGCAGCCTACATACAGAATGCACAGAAGCTTTTCCTACAGACCCACAAACTGCTGTTATGATAAAGCTGGGCAACTAATTCAGAATTTTCTAAGTTTTTCAGTGACTTGAGTTACAGGACTGCACCCATGAGGACTGAATCACACATTAAGCTCTCTGAACAAATGTGTCACCAGAAATGACAGGGGAAAAAAGTTTTCTAAATAAATTTTACTGGGCAAAATCTGTTACAGATTTTCCCAATCTGGGAGAGATTGGTCTATTGCAATAATTATTGATTTTAATTATTCTGCAGAAAGAACAGTGTTTATAAATCATTCTTGATTTCAAAGAATGAAATCTTTAATTAATCATGGATCCAGAGCTGGCCAAATAGTACTAAGCAGAAGCTGGGTTTTATCTATAGTCTCTAGATCAATCATTCATGACCTAAAGATAATCATTACATTTTAGGCCATCCGTGTTACAATCCTGTGTACATGGGCACTTGGCTTGAATTCTGAATTTACAGTAGGTGGGATAAGGTGCAGATAAACACTATGTACATAAAACATCAACCCTTCAGGGATAAAGAAGATCATTTTCACAATGAACTCCATGCCAAGAGATATTGAGCATGTATTTTATACTCCTTGCCAATGTTATTGCTTTATATGAATTTAGTGTGACAAAATTAAATATTTCAAATCCATGCATACATTTTGTGATGAGTTTTTCAGCTTGGCTATATCTGCAGAAATTCCAAAACATGCCATTCCTATCATTACATGATATAATTAAGCTATTCTTATGTTAAAGATTCTGTTAAAATCCTTTAGGAAACAAAGAAAGCTGCATTCATTAGGGAGAAGGGCACAACATTTAAGAGTCCAGGTTAATGCCTTCTACATTATTTAGTGCATGACTATCCCAGGGAGTAATAATGGGTTGCCATTAAACAGTATTGTCTATAATAACAATTTGTATAGTACTCAACTATTGTATTTTCTAATGAAATACTTTGAAATCTCCCAAGAACTTCAATGGATTGCTAAGGAAAATCTACTCATATACAAAACATGCCAATTGATAAATGCAACTTAAAAAAAATATATTGTTAAAAATTAACAATAGAAAAAAATGGAATTTTAAATATCCAAAGTAATTGTAGTGACTGAATTATTAGTATC